CGCCGAGTGCCGTGCGCCCGGCGCTCCCCCCGCCAAGCGCGCTCTCCCCGCAAGCGCCCGTGCGCCATGTGCCCGGGGCCAGGCCAGCCCCGAGCACCTGGCAGGCGCATTCAAATGCCCCCGCGGGTGCCATGGCGCCCGCGGGCACCATGTTGGGGACCACGGCTCTAAACTATGCTGGCTATGAAGCTCTCTCTTCATGTCCCTGGAGTACTGGAGAGCCAGTGACCACTAGAGCGCAGCAATGCTCTCATCAAACCCCTTCTCCCCAGCAACTGCCAACATCCTCTCTACACCAAAGCCGGGAAGGGGTATATAATTAGGGTTGCCAACCTGTAATGTTTAAAAAAACCTGACACCCCAGAAGAGTGCCTGATCCTTCCCTGCCCTGCCTCCTTCCCTCAAAGCCCTGCCTCTTCTCCTAAGGCCCCTGCCCTGCCCTCCCATTTCTCCTGAGGATCTGCCCCCATCCACTCTTCCTCCTCCCATCATGCACTGCTTTTCCTCTTCTACCCATCCCCTGTCTGAGTCAGGAGAGACTTATCTGCGGAGCTGCGGCTGGGAGTTGCAGTCATGCAGACAAAGGTAGGAGGCAGTCCCAGCTAAGCAGGGGCTGGTGCAGGTGATGACCCAGCACCTCCCTTCCTGCTCCGCTCGCAGCAACTGAACTTTGGTTATTTGGTCAGTAGATCTCATCAGACACAGTCAGGTCCCCTTTTAGATTGGACTTTTCAGTTAAAAAAAAAAAATCAGGCATCTGGCCACCCAAGATAACATATGAGCTGGCTATGGACAGTCCTACAGCACCTAGGAATTTGCCTGTGCTGTGCAAATCCCCAGCTATCTGCTTGTACCAACTTTTCAATCCCTTTGCAGCATCAGAGAAGCAGAAAGGTGCTGGAGCAGGGCCAAGGATCTGCCTGGTGCTCTACTTACACTCAGTAAAACCACTGAGCTTTGGGGAAAGTTGTGCATTTCTGTCTTTCGCTTGGTGGGTGCTTTTTCTAGACAGATTTCCTGTTATTCTTTGCACACACTTCAAAAACTGAAATGCTAAACTAGATAAGATTTTTAAAAAGCCTAATAAAACCTGCCTTAGCACATAACAGCAGAGCATATTAACCAGGCCTCAAAGCAGACAGTTGGTGAGAAATGACTACTGTCGTTTTGCTGACAAGCGCAAATTTAATCTGCAGAAAGCACACAAACAACCCCCACATTAGCACTGAAAGAAAACATCAGATCCATGGCTGCTCAGTTATTAATTTGTCTTAAACAACTGTTGATTAATAAATCTGGTTCTCTGTCATACTGGTCATCCAGCCCTTACTTCTGACTTGGGTTGGTTTTAATTAAGTTGCTCTCTTTTATTCAGGTGCTTTCTTCATAGTTGAAGCAGCACTGGTAAACCTTTGGACAGGCTTTTGAAGACACAAAATACTATATGAAGGCTGCAATCCAAATGCTACTGAATTCTTTCCACTGACATTACAGGGGATTAGATTGAGTCCTAAATGCTCAGTTATTGTATAGGCCGGGAATGGATGGCCCAGGGCAATTGTAATGGGATACAGAGATGTTCCTCTTTAGATCACTGATCTAAGCTTGGCATGGTTTGATAGCGACCAGAAATCATTACAATCTGACAGTTAGGTGGCCTATGTGGAATGGATGGCTGGTCACGAACAAGAACCCCAATTGTAATAAAATGTCATAACTCACACCTTTGCTAGTAGCATTGGCAGAAAGAACAGAAAAATGAATGACATCTGGAGACTGAAGCAGCTTGTCACCCAAGAGGGGAGACTCTCTCAGCGTGGGGAAGCATACTGGCCCACTGACCATTCTGCACCTCGTATTAGTGAGGGGATTTTTGGGGGTGTCATTCATGCATGTTTTAAAAGGAACAATCACTTTTCCCGAATATAAAACAATTTCTTTTTTAGAAAACTGATTTTCTTCCTCTTTCAAACCAAGAGAAATTCTGTAAAGTCAAACAAGTCGGATAAGACAGTGTAACACTATCCAGCATCTTTTTCCTGGATCTTCTTGGGTCATGGAGACCTGTCAGAATGTATAAAAGTGATGATAGGTCCCAGGCATCTTTGTAATCAGATTCCTAAAGGTCTAACTTACAAGACCAGCATGTAAGTAACAGGGAGCAAGGTACCAAGTAAGTTCAGGGATGTAATATTTTCAGTGGCATTAACCATTTTTCAAACTCTCTAGTCAGTCGGGTACATGTGCTATCTGTTAGGGCTGAGCATGTGCCCCTGCTTTTTCCATCTCTCTTTGTATTCAGCACGAGCGATATCCCATGCTTTGCACACAGCTGCCTCTCTGAATTCAGAACAAGTATTCACAAATCTTTTCCAAACGCCTCTCTTGGTTTTGGATCTTTTGCCTTGAAGATCCTGTGACATAAAGCAGCTGTTGACGTTTAATAGGCTCTGACTCCAGCGGTTCTGTCCTTTGCAGATGGGATACTTTTTCTCCATCCTACAGTACAAAGGTCCAGAATGTTCCCTTTGACTAGTTGCCAAGGAGGCTTCTTTGGTACTATTACCCCATGATTTCAAAGCACAACTTTTGGAGTCATTAAAATAGCAGAATAAGGGTCAATACTATGGAAAGTTTCACAAACGCCATTGAAATGTCAACCTCAGTCCCATCCACGATGCACTGAGGAAAGTCACCTCATGCCTCTTAAAGGAGGAGAGGAATCAGTATTTCCAGCATTAACTCTTCCACTAGTACCACAGAGAGTCAAAGGCAGGAGACCCTTTCTAGCCTGATTTGTAAGTTCTGCAGAAACAGGCAGCCATCCAAACCTTCCAAGATACTCAAAGCACACAGGGCTTGTGTCAGCATTTTGGAATGAAAATTAGATTTAAATAATTCAGAAATATAATAATGTTGACCCAATCTTGGCATTAGACACTAAAGTCCATACCGCAACAGGAATTATTTTCAGAGGAATCAAAAATTTAATTTATCTGTGGCAAGGAAATTTAAGCTATTGAAACAATAATTACCCAAACTGGCTCAGTGAATTTCCTTGTCCATGGAGTCTTCATAAGGCACTATATAAATAACATATCTATCCTACTTCAAACTCATTTGAAGTATTTGCTTATATGTCAGTTGAAGCTATTTTAGACACCGAAGCTATGTTCATAAGCTCAGTCTAATAAAACATTACTAGCTTAACCTTATCTTTGGAGAAATTAAAAGCAAAGAACCAGAAGTCTGTCTTAATTAAAATTTCATTCTAGAGCTTGGAGATGGTAAAGTAATCATATTTTTTCCTGGCTCCCCTCTGCAGGCCATGTACTATAGGATCTATAATATTGATAATGTAGCACAGAATCTGAGCATTCACACTTATCAACTTGCTGTTTGGCTGAAAGAGCTTCTTAGGGAATGGTTTCAATGAACTGTAGGAGACCCAGGTGTGTTATTTTCACTAGCTTCTTGCCAATTTCTAAATTCAGCTAAAATTGTCTTATAAGTACTCAAGTCTCCATGATCCATCCATCCTTCCCCAATCCCTAGCACCCCATTTATACTTCTCTTCTGATCTCTGCTCTACCTCTGAGCATAAGCCCACCTGCTCTATTACTATGTTCCTTTACATTTGACCAACTCTCCCCTCTCCAGAAATGTGTGCGGCAGAGGGAGGGGGAGACTTTTCACTCTGTTTCATAGGAACTCTCTCACCATGCTCCTCAGAAAGCAGTAATTGCCTCTTCTTAGAAAAGCATGTTTTTACAGCTTACCTCTTCCCTATGACAGGATTTCTCTGGGAAGTATTCTGTGATAAGTAAAATAAAGGGCCAGTTTCATCCCTAGAATCCATCCATCTGTTAAGTTCTCTTTGTTTAAGAGCTCCTCCTAAATGATAAGAGCTAGAACCACTAACTTTGATATGCAGCTTCCTCTAATCCTAACTTAAAGCAGGGATAGGGTTTGGTTGTGCCAGGATAATGGGAAGTGCCTGGAATTGAACTGTTTTCCATAACACGGAAAAGGGAGGGGGCAGTGAGCAGGGACAGTTATGCTGCAGAATGATCATAGGAGAGTGGCTGCACCAGCAATAGAGTGATGAGCTGGGGTGCAGGCTCTCCATATTGCCAACTGTTAGCCGCGGTTAAGTGGTCTCTCTCCCTCCTCCCCCAGCCATTGACTGCAGCTGGTGGGGCTGGGCAGTACAGTCTTGGCCATACCACCCCACAAGGAGATGCAGACCGGAGCAGGACAGCACAGCCAGGCCCCTCCAAAAGCCGATGGCTCGGCAGCAGAGCCCCGTCCCAGGAGGCACAAGCTGGGGCTGGCCAGCACAGCTCTCAGTTCTCTCCTGGAAGGAGCCAGCAGCTCCCACCTCCCAGGAGCAGCTGCCAGCCAGGGCTGGACAGCACAGCCCCGGACCAACCCTCCAGAGGAGCTGCCAGCAATGGCTGGGCAGTGCAGTCCCGGCCTACTAGGAGAGTCGCCAATGGGCAGCATGGCCCCGGGTGCCTCAGGAAGCTGCTGTCATTGGAGCAGTGCTGCACTCACCACCACGAGTGGCTCCAGTGAGCTCTCTCAGGTCTCCCAGCCCCCAGCTCGGACTCCTGCATTCCCACCCTCTGCCTTGAGTCTCCACAAAGACCCAAGCAACCTCTACTTTCATTCTAAAACTCAATTATAGTAAGGATGTTAAGAGGCGGGTAAGAGGGTAATTGCGTAGTTGATACACTTTGTGTCGACTACACCCGGGGTTCTCAAACTTTGTGATACCGTGACCCCCTAAAATGCTAAATGAATTTGTCGGACCTCCCACACTCACTGCTCCAAAGTTGTTGAGGAAAAAAAAAGGTGGGGGGAGCCAAATTGCTAAGCAAAAGCTGCACCACTTTATCCAGTTTGGGACTACACACTAATCGCCAATGCACTCACCCCTCCCCCTGAGTCGTGCCCCCCAGTCTCCCCATCCCAGTGCACTCTCCCCTCCCCCCGAGGCAGGCATCCTCAGCGTCAGGAGCGCCACTCCAATCAAATCCCTTCCCACCCCACAGAGCCAGGCACGGAGGAACAATCTTACTTTTAAAGTGGATGCTCCTGCCGCCCGGCCGCCTCAGCTTGCAGCTTGTAGGGGAGGCATCACATGGCCAGCTGCCAGTCTCAGCTGGTCATGTGGGCCAGAGCAGTGTGTGCTCTGCTCCCACCCAGCCCAGCGCTCCCCTAGCGTGGTTCCCGGTAACTGCCCCCTCCTGCTCCCTCCTCATTCCCTCGCCCCTGCCAGATGCAGCAGGGGTCCAGGTGAAAACTGGATACCTAGCAACTGAGATGCAAGAGAGAGCAATTTTTGCATTTAAAAAAAAAATGGATCCAGCTGCGACCCCCCCCTGTAAGTTGCTCACAACCTCCCTGGGGGTCGCGACCCAGTTTGAGAAATGCTGGACTACACAATTAGTCAATAAGGAAAAGGGCTAGGAAGGAACTAGCCCTGCTGCAGCTCTGCTGTTTAAATGTAGCAAGAGCTGGGCACGCAGGCAGCCTGGCTCATAGTACATTTAAACTGCAGAGCCACAGCAGGGGTAGCTACTGGACCTGACACAAGCCAAGACTGAGCCAGGCCAGGGAGTAGGAACACTCCCCCTCTCCCGCTCCTGCCCTGCAGACAGGAGCTGCTGCAGATCAGCCTCTGTTCACAGTCAGCCCTGGCTGCCGTGGACAGGGGCTGCCGCTAGA